AAATCACAGACATCGCTCAATGCCAAAAACATTAAAACTGACAAGGCTAGACGGCAGACAAGATGACTGCTCTGTGACCCTCTCCCTGGGACTTCCCTGCATGCCACACACCCAAGGAGGACGTGCACCATCGCTTGGCAAGTTCATTGTGGGGGAGTCCCAGCGGTGCTGGGCGGCGAGTGGGCGTGGTCGACTGTTGCGCCAGGATGTGACCAAAACAGGAAGAGTGGGCGGCTTGGTCATGGAGGCGGATGCGGAAAGGCCACAAAGGTCGTTGCAACACATTCGCTTCGTTGGGTCAAAAGTCAAGCGTTGGACGGTGTGTGGGGGGGAGGGGGGGATCCCCTTGGATGCCAGCCATTACAACACTTTGTTGGCTGCTTTGTAAACTTTTTCTCACTATGGAAAAAGTTTTTTTGCTTCCCCCAGTCTTTTTGTATTTTTCACGCCTTGTCCGAAAGTTTCCTGTTTTTCCCCTCTACTTGTTTTGCTATTTTTTCCCGCTGCCGCCCTAACAATGAAATTTTTGACTGCTGATTGTGTGCTGTTCAATGTTATTCTTCCAGTTCAATGCGAGTTAAAGTAGACAGAGCTGCACAAAATAGGAAAAAGAATACGAAACCGGTCGGAAATATTGGACCTCCTTCTGTGATACTTAGCCCAAGTCTGCAGCAAATTGAAAATGGAAAGTTTCGTTCCTGTTTTCCTGTATAGATATATTCACAATTTCTTTTGCAGTTTGTCTGCGACTTTGGTTAAGTATGCCTTGCAGTCTAGTCTCTCGGCTAAGGACTGCCCAAATGAGGTAAAATAGTTTGGGGAATACTATCGGCAAAGTTTTTCCCCGGCTTGTCTGTGGAGATTTATACTTGGGATAGTTAAGTTTACGAAAGAAAACAATACATGTACGAAAATTCGACCGAGTAATAAAACAAGATTAAAGATGAGAATCGAAAGTTTAATGGGCGGAGATTTGTAGACCCTTTTATGGCCAACAAACGTAATAACATCACGTAATGTGAGGGTTGAAAAACCGCAGGCTGACGTCGCATTTCCATTTTCCCAGCGGAGGCGAAAATGGAATGGATTTAAAACCAACTCCCCATAAGCATGCATTCATTTTTCCAGCAATTTTCACACTCAAGCTGGCATGCACTTTGCTGCATTTCCCCCAGATGCATCCCCACGTTTTATCTGACAGCTGCACTTACGCAATGTTACGCATAAGTGCCCTTTAGCACCTAGCAAGTTGAACATTTTTTATTTCACTTTTTCTGGCAGTCGATGAGGGCTTATTATACGGAAAAACATTTGTGCTTCCACCCACTTAAAAGGAAGGACAGATACGTTTTTGACGTGTTCTCTGTTCCCCATAATTTTCTCTGCGTGTAATTGTCGTTTGAGTTTATTCAGTTGTCAAGTTTGGTTTCATTTATATAACATTTTGTGTTCATTTCCGCATGACCTTTGCAAAGAAGCACTATGAAAGCATCTTGAGAAAAACTGGAAAGAAAATTGCACTGTCACTGCTACCTAATGAAAATTAGCATATCCACTGGTTGTCAATACCATGACGATGGGCCTCAAAAAATCCGTCGAAATCTGTCTGCACTTTATGAGCAATCATGACTTTGCGCGACTGATGAAACTTTTTCCCACTGACAAATTGACTTGCCACATGGCCTGAAAGCGAGCTGCCGCTGCCGCTGCCACGTTGTGCGGCTAATAACTCAATAAAGGAAGTCGCGGCCTAAACCATCCGCCGCCACCTTCGGCGGATTTCCTTTGTGGCAAGGCAAGCCTAAGCCGATTTCCGCTTGTTTGTCACACAATTACAATTTGTCAGTTGGGGCTTAGGTCGTCGGGATTGCTTTGTCCTTCGCCTGATTGGTTGGCAAATGTATATATATCCCAGTCTAATGAGGGATAATCGCGGAGGAGGAGGCGCAATGCAAATAAGATGTGAAATCTAGAATATTTAACTGGATTAATAAGCATATATTTTCTTTCATATATTTTTTCGGCTTGGTAAGATTTTTTTATTTATAAAAAACAGCATTGGCCCATTTAACTTTGACCTTTGATGTAATGTCAGCTTCCAAACGGTTTTTAAATATGCCTTATCATTTTGATAACTTTTATTTGAACCATTCCTGCGCAGTTGGCCGTGATACATCGATAACCAGCACAAATGGCTTTCATATGGCTGGGCGGCAACGCCTACAGGCTTAATGAGCGCACGTAGAACATCTTGTCCTGCGGTCACCATAAATAACAGAAAAGCGCATTTGTCATACGACCTCCCTTCACCTCAACTCCCGCCTCCCCTGACATTCACCTTTTGGCCAACTGCAGTCCTTGGCCTTTGTCCTGGACGTGTTGGGCTGTAAATCAGCTCATTAGTTAGTTGGCAGCACCTCGAGCTCGGCTAAGACCAGTCTATGAGTAACACGTAGCAGCAGCTGCAGTGAGAGAAATTTATTTACCCATAGGTTAAGTTATGCAACTGTAATTAGTCTGAGTATGAAACAAAATCTGTACACTACTAAATTCTATATTACGCAGGATATATACAATTACGCAGGGCAAGATTTTACTAACAAGAGAAGACAGGTGTTTTGCAACTACTAGCCAGATTTGTTACTATATCCCACTTTTTCATCAAAATAGCTTATGCAATTTCTAATTAGGTGTACTTTTTGGCGGTGTACTTGCTCGTGGCTTGTGCGGTCGCTCGTTAAGCTTCATTTAATCAAAACAAAAAGTTGGCCTGGTGAAAAATTACCCCATACACAAGAGGTAAGCGGCAGGCTAAAATGCCTCTTTGAATGCTAATAAATCTCGTTCGGTGCGTGGCTGGGCTGCCTATCAACGCTTAAGCCCGACCTTTGGCAGTGGAAAACATAATTTAAGCGGCCAAATATCTGCGAAAGTTGTTGGCCGAAAGTTTGGCGAGTGGGTCCGGCCAAGAATCAGAGTCGAAGGGATTTTCTTTTTAGTTGATGATAGCCTGGAGTTAAGCCAATGAAGGATTGGGATTGGATTCGATTGGGTTGATATGGGAGGACGAGTGTGTGGGAGTTAATGAAGCACGCCGATTGGGGGTTCCGGGTCGAGAGAAATATGGCCAGTCAGCTGTCGATTAAGTTTAGTGCCTGATGATGATTGCTCCTGGGGGTCGTGACCCCTGCTGATTGTCCGAGTCCAGTTTCGAGTGAGTGTGCTGTTATTGTTTGAAACTAATCTTTAAAGATCATTAGCTTTGTTCGCGCCAAACTCTTCATAACAATAATACTTTGCCAAATAGCCCTGAGGAGTCGAAGCGTATGCGGTCCCCCCATTAATATATATATATTTATATATAAAGTGTCCGCGGAAGATGGCCAGCTATAATGACGTCAAAGTTGTCAGGGGTTTTTTCATATTGTTGCCTTCAAAATGAACCTTACCCTTTTGCACTTTTGTGCCTGCCCCTTCACTATGATAATGATAATGAGCATAATGGCGGCGGGTTGAGAGGTGAGAGCCTGGCTGATGACTCGGAGCTACTTCAAGTCCGCTAATCTTAATTACTTTTGTTTAATTACTTTGACGTCCTGCCCGCGACCATGACAAGCTAACTTCCTGCGTTTCGGTATTGTTTCCACTTTGAAACGCCCGAAGGTATGCAGCGGCTTTGGCTGCTTGCTTTAAAATAAATAATGTTTACTTATTATTTTTTGGCTGAAAAGAATGAAGGCAAGGTAAGAAAAATTACCCAGTGAAAACTTTGCGCAGTTAACAAAAGAACCCAGCATTTACCTTTTGCCTTACCGCCACAAGACAAATAGGGACCACATGCTCTTAGGCGTTTTAGCATCCTGATTGTTGGTACCTGACCTAAGGCACTCGGTAAAAAACTCTGGAAAAATACTTACATATTTTGTAAACTAATTTAGAGATTAAAATCTTGACCCAACAGGGGAATGCCAGGGGCCTTGGCCTCCATTTGCTGGTCCGCGGAAGCCGAGCCAATTAGCATAATGATGTTGATTTTTATTGCTGCACCGAAAAGTTTTGTCATTGACTTTGGTCAATGTTTGTTCAAGGCCCCTCCTATGAAAAGCCTGTGGCTGGGCCTAGGGATATGATAATTTAAAGTGTTGGACTTTTCCAAAATATTTGTCATGGCCAAATTTCGAAGCCGGGCAGGCTTGGTACTGCCCATGAAATTGTTTGATGGCATATTAAGTGTCTGTTTGTGGGCTTGCCACAAAGTCTGCACTAAAACTTGTTTTTTCGGACTACAAATAATTTATGAGGCCAATCAAAATCGCACAAACTTAAACCAGAAAGACGTCAGAAAAGTGCCCAATATAAATTCCAACGAAGCCAACGAGCAAATACAAGCAGGAAAGAATTTGAGTTGTTTATTACCTGCACACTGGTTTTTTAATGCTCTTTATTTTCCGAAACCCAAACACTAAGCATTATTTTTGCAATAGTTTAACTGCTTACATATGTAGGAAATATTTCAGAGCAATAACTAATAAAATATTAAATTATAAATGTCAACTTAGCAAACACGTCCCAAACTAAATTTTAAATATAACATTAAATTCAATTAAAGTTAAATTAAAAGGCTTTATCAATAGGACTGGCGCGATCATGTTGCCCAACTATGATAGAGCATCATTTCACCTACGCCACTTCAGCTCAGAATGTGTTATATAAGCCATGGCCCTTAAAAGTATGCAATAAATGTTAAGGCCAAGCTGAGCCAGGATATGTGCGTTTAAAAGATGGCATCCGCCTGCACCTGCAGAAACTGTAAAAGTGTATTTTCCGACTCCTGAAAGTTGTGCTTCAGTTGTCGTTGAACAGGCTTTCATTTGACCTTCTAGTTCCGTGGATGTATTTATCAGTTGACAGCAACTCAAAGTAGGCTGCTAAAAATATTTGAAAAGTCGATAAGGAAAAACGAAATTTAACAAACAACTGAAAACGTAACTAAATCTGAGATGGTGAGTGCAAGAACGATTGTGGCTACCGGTGTGCTGAACATCCTGGGCACATCCTTTTTCGTGGCCCAGCCAAAGGATCAATGCTCGAAAGTACATCTTCCTACTGGCCATACAGCTGCTGTTTTGGGATTCGGACATGATTCCAAAGAAATTGAAACCAAGGATTTCACCAAAGATTTTTGCCTGCTGTGATCGTTTATTCACGATCTTCTTCACCGAAGTAATCCTGCTGGTGGGATGGTGTGGCTTCGAGAGGATGACCTACCGCACTGTCTACTTTGTGTGCCGCGGAAGACCTGGGTGCAATTACGCATTGATGACTTCCTGCAGCATCCTAGGATCACTGTTCATTGTGCTTGAGGTGGTCACTCCCCAAAAGATGAAGGACGTTGCGAGTTGCTCTTTCCTCAGTGTTCGCATACATTCGTGATGTGCACACCTTTGTGTGGGGCGCCATATAAATTTGCCAACTGACTCGGCAGGAGCGTATGCTATCGGTACACGCCTTCGAGGCTCAATTGCGCTACAGGAATGGAGGGGACGTAGAACCAGGTGAACCTGCTGTCCAGGAATCCGAGAATCAAATGGACGCCGGAAAATCGGCACCAGAACCGGAAATCGTCCACGAGTTGTCCCCGTAAATTGTTTATTATTTATACAAATTTATGCCAACAGCTGTTGCTATCGCTGTCCTTATTGTGGGACTGTCGTCCATTCTTTTCGTTTTTGTGGGGAATCGGGATGGAGCGGCATGCCTTTCATTTTTCGATTTTCCGGAATTCGGTCCTCCCATTGTTTGCTTTTCATTTTTTGCTCCAACTGTTTTCCTTGCGGTGGCCATTTTAATTTCGCCTTTATTCCTCGCCTCGCCATCATCGTTGTTGCCATGTTAGCCGCAATTGATTTGCCGTAAATTGTATTTTTAATCTGTCCGACAAACGTTCGACATTCGATTTCGTTTCGAAATATGTTGAAAGCGATTCTGTTTGTATTTCTTTCTCTACTGCGGCGGAATCGGTGCGAATGAATCCAGGGGCGGGAGTGGGTGTTAATGAGTGTGTCAGGGGTGTTATTTATTCGTTAGGTAATTGACAGCGTGTTGCACGGCAGTTCGGGATTCGTCTACCTTGCAAAGTTGAGAATTTAGAGTAGTAAATTAAATTAAATTTATTTAACTTCAATAAGATTACAATTTCATATTCTTTTGGTAAATTATTATTTTTAAATTGGGCAATATAATTAAAAATGCTTTGAATTTTATTCATAAGACGTCAAGACTTTTTTAAATGATTATAGACTGTTTAATAAATATAATAGAACTAACACATTTTAAGCCACATTTTCCGTAGGAAAATTCCTCTTTGAAGAGGAATTTTATTTCGAGAACTTCACACCCTACACAAATATTTACACCAATTTATTTGTAGGCTTTTAGATGCAGTCGATTAAATTGCAAATTCCGTATGGGGCTGCTCATCAAAGGGCGGGCGAATAAAAATAAAGTGCAAGAAAAACAAGAGTCGAACATTATTTTTGGCAATTGCTTTGGAAATACTAATATGATTGACGGTTGCTGGAATCGCATTAATGTCACTCACACTCACGTGCCACATTCAACCACCCCATGTTGCCCCAGTGTTGAGTAATTGAATTTGTTCCTGTGTTGACTCGATGTTGCTGCCACTGAAGCCCAATGGCATGGGAAACGGAAACAAGGGGAAGCTATATTAAATATTTCACATCTTACATGTCTGGGGATCGGATCAGCAGAAAGTCATGAAGTGCGGGTTGTGTGTTTTTTGTCTTGTGGAATCTAGTCCATTGTTTGTGATTTGCTGGGAAAGTTGATGAAGTGCACCTAAATTCTGATTAATGCGCTCTCTCAGCTGTGCTGAAAAGACTTCTTTGATGCATTTAAAAAGAAATAACTATATTTATATGTACTTAGATAAGGTAGCACAATTTTGTCTGAATTGATTCTATATTGCTAAAATCCAAATTACAGCTTATAACCAAGCCCAATCGACCGTTGATTTGTACGAGTATATCTGGGTGTTTTATATCACCCCTATTTTACCCCAAACTAACTACGAGCTGAAATCAGATTCAGAGTTGCATATAGCCTGGCAGATTATCTTCACACACTCTGTGATACCGAAACACCGCCCCCGTGGGCATTATACCAACTTAAATGCCAAGAGTCGTTAGTTGCTCCCAGCTCCAGAATGGGTGATAAGATGGATTTTTGGGGGTCTTTGCTGGGCTTTGGGGGTTCTGTCAACGAAACGGATGGTTAAGAAATATGTGAGCTTCTGGCAGACTGCGTACATATGTTAGCACATTTTTAAATGTGTTTGTGTCAGGCCGAAGTCGTGACTGCAGTAAATTCCTGACTACCCAAAAATGCTCAGATAACGAAGAATGGCAAACTTGATAGAAATGAGCATTTCAACATTTTCAGCTTAAGCAGGAGAAAATATATATACACACATATAAATATAAGAAAAAATAGGGAAAAACAGGGAAACTGGCAATGCATGTCTGCAATTTTTTAAGCAAACATTTTATTTGCTAGAAATGCCAGAAAAAGCAACAACAGCGCCATTCGAGATGGAGTGAGAATGGAACTTGAGACACACAACCCACATCAAAAGAGCAACTTCTGCATTTTCCCCGTTCTCGTTGTCGTTGTCGTTGTCGATGTTGTTGCTCCTGTTCCTTTGGTTGTCGTTGACTTGCGCTCCTGTTGACATTTTGATACAAATCTTCAATAAAATAAAAGCAGCTCAAGTGGCCATAGCGTAAACAACAAAGGAAGTACGGCCAGTGGGGAAAAACTTGGGAAAACATTCTAGGTGGAGGAGGTGAGGCCAGCTTATGTCTAACCCAAAGTACAACCAAAAACTGCTTGTAAAATGGTGCAACTATTTTCCGGTTAACGTTGAATGGCAGTATATTTTAAAGCAATACAATTTTTTAAGTATTTTTATTTTTAAGTATATTTAAGAGCTAGATCATTAAGTAAATGTAGTTCTTTCCAATATTTATTATTCTTTTTATTCAGTACTCGAAATGTGAACAGCAAGCAATTAGAGAGTAGATTATAGTTTCGACCAACCAATTTGCCTAGTCAATTTTTACTTTTATAATAATAGTTTTCTATATATCGTGCAATTAAAATATTAGATGTATAAAAGAATATGTATCTTATAGATGAGTGGGAAATCTGAAATGGAGCTGAAAGTCGCAACGGTTAATTGGCCGCGACAAACCCTTTTGGACACCCTAATCCCACGCCTCAATTCGGACCGTCGTCCTGTCCGAAAGTCCTGGGTGTCATCTGTCCCAGGAAATCTCCTTCGTTTTGGCGGACTTCATGTTGTTTGGGTTTTCGTCGTCTGGTTGGGTTTTTGTGACTGTGGTCAAGCATATGGCACACAACACAGCACAACATGCTATTCCGTCCCCACACAGATACACACGCACACTTGCCCATGCGGTGGGCAATCACGTAACAACAACAACAGTGAAGCCGAACAAAAAGTTGTTAGCCAATTTACTAAATGTCCAGTGTGTGTTGAATTGTTGAAGCTCGTTTGCCGCTTTGTGTACTTTTTCGTGTTTCGTATTGAATAACAAATTATTTGTGGCATATGTTTAGGGGCTGGCAAGGACCAACAACCAAGGACCAGGAACAGGAGCTGAGTGGGCGTTAAACGACTTGTTAGCCAGTCAGTCATGGATAGTCCGATGGTCTGACAACTTGTTTGCCCGCCCGAGATGGACATGGAAAAGAGTAAATAAGTTGAAAACTGGAATTAGTCCGTTTAGCAGTGGGATAGTTTAATGTTCTCCATGGACTTTGGGCGTATCGGATGAAGTCAAATATCAAAAGTAGTCGACTTTTCCGGCTCTTTGGCTCAACTATTGTCCAACCCATACCGATTGTATCTTTCCTTCCCGATACGTGAGTTTTTTACCAATGAATATGAAGCCACAAAACGAGATGTGGCCCAAAAAATGGAAGCGTATAACTTTTAATACAATTTGTAGGCTCTGACTTCAGCCCTGGCTCTTCATTAGGATTTTTATTTCTCTTGGATATATTTTATAGCTTGCCAAAAAGCGAGGAATTTATTGCCGCAAGTTCAAAACGTTTCGATGGCTGGCATTTTTCTGAATCGACCTCGACACGCTTGCTGCATTTTCAATTGCATTTCCAATAAATTGTTTCCAGCCTCGAGTAGTTCCGCTTCCCCCTCCTTAACTTGGCCAAATTGGCGAACACAAAGAGGAGCAAAATATCCGCGTTACACTTAATTTTCCCATGACTCTGGTGAACTGCACAAGAGAAATGCGTTTAGGGTTATTGCAGGGAGTTCCATTGGGCGCAGAGTGGGCGTGGCTGGATGTAATTAGGCGCTGTTAATTAAGTCGTAATTGGAGTTTTTCACTGAGGCTCAAAGCGGTCGAGGGTGACTTCCCCAAGGACATTACTTACGTGTAATAAAAGGGTGAATAATCGCAGTAAGTTGGATGCTATGTGCGCAACGAGAACTTGGTATATTTTTTGGGAAGGATAGTAATGGTATCAAAACTTGATTAAAACTATTTCGAAACTAATTTGAACATGGTGCAATTGAGTTTAAAATGTGAGAAGGTTCGCGGGAAAGGGCATGGAAAATGTAACTTACTTTTTGTAGTGTAAGAGGTAATTGCATTATTTTGGTAGATATGCATTTAAGACATTCCCATACATATAAATAAAAACAAAGACTAATAAATCTCATATTCCCATATCGGTAGTGTCTTTTGTGAAACTATATGAAAATCGTGCATAAAATCAAACTGATCAATTGTAAAATATATAATTAAATTTCATTTTTTACAACTGAATAAAATCCAAATCTCAAAAAAAAATTAGTTGACGGTTTTAATGGCGAGTTCGTCTAGTTTAATATGTTTTCTTTCACTTTCACTATTAAAAACCGTTTCGTAAAAACCATATCCCAAATTTAAACTGCTCCCAAATTAAAGAGACTTTGATTATAAGTTAGCTGGTTTTATTTGGCTGATACTTAGATATCGTATACTTATTTACTCACGTGCAGACAATGTTTTACAGTGGTTTACAATTGATAAATATAGCTTCAATACCAATTGTTTTCTTTTCAAAATTATTGGCAGAAGTGAAATTTTTCTAATAACAATTAATATCACAAAATTAATGGATACCCTGCTTTCCATTATCACTACAATCAAATATCGACCTATTCTTACACTATGAAATCATAAAAATTATTACTATCCCATTGAAAAGAATGTTATTCATACCTAGGGATAACTGTCATTAAGCAAATGGCTTGGCACTTGGTAATAAGCCAAGATTTTTGAAGATTTTCTTTTTAAAGAAAACCATCTGACCAGCAACACCCGACAACAAAGTGAATTTATATTTAAACTATTTTGTTGTTGAAGTAATAATAAAAATGCAGTTCTTACGACTAAGCTAATCTAAGCTATTTGGCCAGTAAAACACATAAACAAAATTGATTTATATTTATTTGGAATATTTTGTTGTCGACATAATAAAAAAGTAGTACTTCTTGCAGCCCAGTGTAGGCAAGACACTAATGTCCGTCATATCATCCGGCAGCTGCCACTGAGTTCCGCTCAAAAACCTAACTAAACTTCAATTGGGCATTGCCCTGGCTTTTATAATGTGGCTCAGCCAATGGGAGCCAAGACGAAAAGTTGTTAAAATCCAGTCAAGGAGTGGGTAACATTGGGGGTTGCTGTTTAGAAAAGCCACTGTTAGGCATCCAAAGCTTTTCGGCGAAACTTGAAAGCTTGCCTGAAGCGCAGATCCTTGCTGGGGAAAATATACCGTTATTTAAGGGAAATGTTAGATAACAGTTATGTAAGGATATTTTGTGAAAAGCCATAATGGAGAAATTCAGAGAGTTTTACATGGGAACTTTTTAGCAGACATCCTAACAGCTGAAGAGAAAAGTTACAGAGCACTGTAGGTAACAGTAATGCAAAGTCTTACTTTACATACTTACTTTAAATAATAAAACTGTTATGTAATACTTACAGGAATTCTTTCAAAACTGGAAAGGTATTTGAATCGAATGCAGTTATTTCAGAACAAAGTTGACAAAATAAATTCTTAAATTTAATTATTAAATGCCATATGTGCAGTATAATAGAGTTTTCTTTTGAATGTGGTTACATTTGTTTTAGCTGGTTTTTACAATCCCACAAATCTGTAGAGTCCCTGAAAAGTGGTTGCGTAAAAGTGAAGTGGCAATAGTAACATCCATTTGGCATTCGATACTTCGGCTTTTGTGGTTAAAACAAATTAAGTGGAATTAATTTGACTTTGCCTGGCTTTTCACCTGTGCATCGGCACACTCACTCGCACACTCAACCGTGTGTTTGTGCTTGTGCATTTATGATTTCGGAAAAAGGCCTCGGAAAAGTAAGTCTGGAACAGGCTTTGTTTGTACTGCTCGTTTTGCTGTCTCGCTGTTTCTGACATTTCGAGTGGTTTTCCACCCCCCGTCCTTCCCGTGCATTAAATATTCATCATGGAAAAAGCACTGGCAAGTGGATAAGGTGGAATATAAAAAAAAAAGAAATGACAGAGCCCAATACGTATAGCCACATATATCCATATAGGATATGTTTATGGTAATTTATACTCCGGTGCGGAGATTGAAATTCATGTAAATAAATTGCACCTGTAAAAATAATTAAAGTCGAAATCGCTCGCGCTGGCTGGCTAAAATATGAACTCCACCTTTCACTTGCCAGTGCATAAATTTACTCGCTCGCATAGCCATTTATATCTGGGCTGCGATATATACGGTCGGGCTACTTGTTATTTGTTATATAGTGGCAAGCAACAAAAAATTGGAATAAAATAAAATAAAAAGTGAACTTTCCGCCAGACGATGGAGCACTCGAGGTTGTGGGACCTTCGTTCCGAAGTGCGGGAACGTCGCTTCAAGTGGACTTCAGACGGCCAACGACGACAACCACAACAACAGCAACAACAACAACAACAATTGGGGTGGTGCAATAACAAGGACGATCCACGGGCAAAAATTCTTTTGCTATTTTTCAATGGGGGCGACCTGCTCCTCCCAGGTGCGACGCCAACAAATATTTTTATAATTTCCTTTTCGTGGAAATTTGCATTTTTCTGTTGCGTTGCGTTGTGTTGTGCCTGCCATTTCCGCTTTGCGCTTTGCCACTTTGCCATTTCCGGTTTTGACGGCTCGACGGGAATTTCTATTCCTTAGCCATAATTGCAAAGTTCCCGCTCCAGCGACTCCTTGGGGCCTCAGCTCATCCCACAGGCTGTCCGCAAACAATTCCGAGTGATTTTCAATGTGTATGTGAATGAAATTAAGCAATTCCAATTTGCTTAAGGTTCTTTCCCGCATCACTGAGTTCACTTAATGATTTCCCAAATACTCGTTCAACGCAAGAAAATCGTTTCAGTCTTATGGGACTCATTCGAACAACTCCAATGAATAATTACTGCTTTACTTGGTTTATTAGGAAGCCTTCAAATTGCAGCATTTCACTAAACTCTAGCAAACATGAATTTAAACAGCTTTTTAAGAATTAAAGCCGCATTTCCTATTCTCAACCAGGCAACTCGCTTTGCATAATAGCACGCGTTGACAAATGATTACGCATTACTACAATTTAATTGTTAACGTTAATATATCAATTTGTATTTAATTCATCCTTCCTGTGAAACAGAAATTTATTTGTCATTTATTAAATCTTTAATAATTGGCACGGCCTTTTGAGTCAAAACAACAAGCCTAATTAACATTTAAAATTATCAGCTGACATAAATTGTTTGATGGCCATAAATATTTCTGCGAACTAACGGAGGCAGAAAACTTTGCAGACAACGCAATATGAAATGCACAACAGGACAATAAGGACCCCAGTTCCGATGGCCGTTTTCCCCTTGCCGCCAAAAGAGGGAGAGCGAGAGAGAGAGGGAGAGAGAGCGAGAGAGACGGCAGTGAAAAAAACAAATATATCAAAGCGAGCAAGGCGCATAAATGTAGCGTAATTTAAATAAAATTGCATTAATATGTTCTCTCCACCGAAAAGGATCTCCAGCTGCAGCCTGTGTCCTGGGCAAATTTCCAGCTAGGAGAAGAGCTATTCGTGCCTTCCCCGGATCTGCCGGCCATAATTCATCTGGGAGGCAACAAGAACACACACAACTATCGCCGGACCTCTGTTGCTCGGCAAATTCACACCAGAAATCAAAAAGCAATAATGATGCTCGAAATCTGAACAGCCGGATCCGGGTCCGGGACCGGGTCCGGGTTCGAATCCGGGCTGCCTGGCGAGATGCGGACGGGAGGTGTGAAAAGTGGGCATGTCTGGGGCCACTATAAATGCATGAGTGTGTGTTTGGGCTACGTGGCAAACTTTTCGAGTATTTGTCGTTATAAATTTGACATCAATTGCCACGGCATGTGACCAACGAAGGTCTGACAGCCCAGGAACAAGCAAGGCGGTTCCAAAGGTGGACGGGCTCCGGCTGAAGGGAGGAAAAGCGGTGAAGCACTGCCGAGGATGTGAGCCAAATTGCGAAAAGAAACCGGCGCGATTTAGGTAAAGTGTGAGTGAATTTAAAAGGAAAAATATTTCATATAAAGTATACTACCAACTAAACCGCCTTCTACTCTTACCTTACTAGGAAAAAACATTAATTTATTTTTTATTATTATCAGAATTTGAAAAGGAAATTAAAAAATATTAAAAGAAATATAGTATGAAAATTTAGTATGACATCAACATATCAAGAGTGGCATATTTGGGCGGTTTTATTTTTATTGCCCAACAGAGAATTGGGCCACAACTAATATCATAAGATTTATGTATGTATTGCGATCTTTCCTCTTTAAAACCTCCTTTTTCTTTTATTAAATCTTGCTAAAATATCACTCTAGGGTAAACTAATAATTACAAAAGTAATCAGCTATTGCTCCCAGCGGACTTATTCGTTTTTCTTTGGAAGGCAAAAGCAACTCATATTTCCAGCCAATTCAGTTTATTTTATAGTTCGGCCCAGGCAACATCGTACAATGTCGAGTAAAATAATATTTCTGCTTTTTCTTGTTTTTATTCAACATTCCACTATTCACTGTTCCACGGGATTGTTCTATATTAGAGAGGATTATTGCGAAATATATTGTGGTGAATTTGGCGAAAACGGAACATGCTCAATATCTAATAATATTGTAACCACTGAGGATTATCAAATGAAATTAGTTTTTCTTGTTCTACATATCCGTTGGACAGACCCAGTGTTTCACAAGTGGAATATTTACAAAATAGGTAATGAAACGGATTACGAACTCATTAAAATTTCTGTGCAAGGAATTCGAAGTGCAGTTGATAAGAGAATAATGCCCGGCGTACATTATCTTGGCCTAGTTGGCATTCGGGAAATTAATGGCTATGATATTTACCTTTCATCCATGCTGATAACTGAGGCGGATGTACATTACATAAATGGACCGCAAGTTGTAACTCTTAAATATTTATATGACAATCCAAACAATTCTATGATTACAAACAATTACATTCGGAAGACCATGAACAGCACCAAGCAAATCAAAATTTATAATCCCAATACTTATGAAAAATCAACACTAACAATTGAAGAAAATGTTTTTCATGAAAAATATAACATGAGCACCCTAACATTTACTGGACTAATTTTGGAAGGTTTGACGGAAAGGACCTTTGAAAATTTAACCAGCTTACGTTATCTTTTTTTCGAAAATGTTGTTTTAAAAGATCTTTCGTTTTTGAGGTTAGTAAAAAAAAGTTTCGCGTTTCTTATATTAATGTGTGCCTGCATTTCAGATCTTCGACGCTTCAGAGATCACTAAGATATTGCATTTTGAATGTTGAGAATACGGTGGACTTGAAGAGCTTTGAACAATTCACGAATCTTGAAATCATAGAAGTTAGCCGGTACAAATTATTTAAAAATCTTACTGCTCTCATATGTGACCCATATACAAGTCACTGTCTATTTACATTCGGAATTAATAAGGTTGCATGCCCCTCGCAATGCAATTGCACATATAATCGAGAAAAGTTCCAGCTAGAAATTGATTGTTTGCTGAAAAATCTAACAAATATTCCATCGTTACCAGTTCCGAAAAAGGGAGATTCAGCTCTTTTCTTTCAGTACAACCTGTTGGCTGAACTCCCCAATAACACGTTGGAAGGCTATAAAGACCTAAAAAGCTTGGACGTGTCATACAACCAACTAACTAGTCTAAGCATAAGCCAACTGCCTGAAAGACTTTACCATCTGGACATCAGACATAATAGAATCACTACCCTAAGCCCACAGGTTGTTGATTATCTTTTCAGTGTTAGTACTTTCAATCAGTTTGGCAACAAATGGAATATCTACTGCGACGATTACCATTTACAAGATTTCCTTTGGTATAGAGATAGATTGTTACGGATAGTACCATCCAAATTTGAGGCCATAATGGAATATATGGAAGTAAGTTCAAACGCTTCATACTTGGGTAATTTTTTTGTTGAAGATAAAGATAAATTGTACCTAGAAGCAAATGAAGATGCCATTATAGGTGCACTTGGTACTTCGAATGAAAACTCTAATTCAAAGTTAATGGAAACTTTAAATCACGTCATTTGGCTGTTTTCGGGGGCGTACGATGAAATTATTCTCCACCATCTCAACGCATCCTGTCCTTACAGATGCCTTTGTTGTTTCGAACGGCAAACGGGTGAATTCCTTATAAATTGCCAGAATTTAACTCTTGACTTGTACAAAAAATCACGAACCCAGAATCCTTAATCGTTTCTGGTCATGCCTCTATACAGAAATTGCACATGTCCCAAAACCTGCTAAGAGAACTTCCACTCCACCTGCTTCCAGAAAACATAACTTACCTAGACGTACGCAATAATTTCTTAAAGTATCTGGACGATGGTGTGGTAGCCTTCCTGGAACATCGAGAGAACATCACCAAGACAGAACTTTCTGGGAACCCGTGGGAATGTAATTGCAGGGCAAAGGCCTTCCTATCTTTTCTCAGGCGGCATGAGCCGTTGGAATACGAAATAGTCCTGCGCCGCGCTAACATAACTCAGGATAGGTGTCCTGTAGACTGCATTTGCTGCGTCGACAGCTCCAATTCCGATGCGCTCACATTGATGATCGACTGCAGTGGAAAGAAGCTACGCGAAATACCACCATTACCCACGCCGGCATTTGGACAAACAACTCTCATCTTTGAGAGAAATAATCTCGAGAAATGGCCATCCAGCTTGCTACCAGGACTCTCAAGTGTGACACGATTTTATTTGGCCAACAACAGTCTTGCCCATATTGAGCAACTACCAGGAAAACTGGAACACCTGGACATCAGTAACAACAATTTCTCGGCTCTAGACGATCGAGTACGGGTATTGCTCCAGGAGAGAATGAGTTCATCCCAGATGAAACTATCACTTTTTGGAAATCCGTGGACTTGCACTTGCGAGCAGAAGGACTTTCTGCAATTCGTAAAGGAGCAAGCCAAAAATATTGCAAACCCTTCAGCTATACAATGCGGGGATACAGGAAGGTCGCTACTTGAGGTCGAAGAGACTGACATATGCCCCTCGGTCCTTATCTACTATACCTCCCTCGCCGTCTCTTTGCTGGTCATCGCCCTGTCCATTAACGTATTTATCTGCTTCAGGCAACCCATAATGATCTGGTTCTACGAACACGAAATATGCCTTAGTTTGGCCGTTCGCCGGGAACTCGACGAGGACAAGAAATACGATGCATTCCTATCATTCACCCACAAGGACGAGGAGCTCATCGAAGAGTTCGTTGATCGCCTGGAGAACGGCAGGCACAAGTTTAGGCTGTGTTTCTACCTGCGAGATTGGCTGGTGGGCGAGTCCATTCCCGATTGCATCAACCAATCTGTCAAGGGCTCCAGGCGCATTATCATCCTGATGACGAAGAACTTCCTGAAGTCCACCTGGGGTCGCCTCGAGTTCAGACTAGCGCTACATGCAACATCCAAGGATCGGTGCAAGCGCCTGATCGTAGTCCTTTATCCCGACGTGGAAAACTTCGATGATCTGGACAGTGAGTTGAGGGCTTACATGGTGCTGAATACCTACCTGGAGCGAAATAATCCAAACTTCTGGAACAAGCTAATGTACTCGATGCCGCATGCCATGCCATTGAAGAGGAGTCGTTCTGATGCAGAAACAAAGGTATAACAACCAAATTCACTCATAAGTTATGAAAAATATACGCGACTTTTGTCGGCTTTTTTATAAAATCTTAACAATATAGCATCAGATACATACCCTGTCAATGCAAATATAGGCGCAATAAAAATACTTTTGTAAAATATAAAAGTTAAAAAAAAACAAATAAGTAGTGACTTTAACTATTTCAAAGCCTAAAATACTTATCATTAAATTTGGGAATGAGTCTGAGCTGAATCTAAAATCTCATTTTAAGATTCCTCACTTATTTAAGAACGCTTAATTACATTTCAAAAATCAAATTTAAGTTTGGCGGCTTCTATTAGCTTTTGCAAGCTCAGTTGTGCGGAACTCGAAATATATGGGATCCCTGAAAGATTCAGTGAACTAGTAAAAATGTTCCAAGGCTCTGTCTTCAGCCCTGAACTAATAGAATTTCACCTCAGGGAGAGCTTTCAGAACCAGCAATTCAAATGTACACCCGCACTTTTCCACAAAAATTGAGACTTTTATAAGATTATAAGATTATACTATATTTCATTTAATTTTGTTACAGAGGGCAGTTTTGATATACCAACAAAATAAAATACAACCTTAAATTAAAGTTTTTTAAAGACCCTGACGGCACTTACAAATAAATATATTTGTATAATGTTTTTATTTTTAAGTTTTAATCTGCTTTTATTCTTTTTAACACATCACTTACAGATATACTAAATAAAATGTACAGCTTTTAAAAAGCTCTTATATAAGCTTGAACAGCTTAAGCGAATGTTTAAACTCGTAGCAAGTGCAGAGCTTAATATAAATGTAAAATTGTAAATGTAAAATGTTCAATGTAGTATTAGTGAGTATAAAAGGATTTTATATTTATTTTGTATTTCTATTTCTATGTTATTCATTTTTGTTTCATAAATTTAGTTGTCCTTCTGTAGATATAGATTTTTAAGCATAATATCTTACAATACTTATAGATTTCATAGCAGACAGCTAATAATAATAATTACACGGCTTGATTACATGTTTATGTCTTATAATCCAAAATCCGGCAATCCCTTCAACTCGCGCCCTAACGACACTTTCCATGAGCTAATGATGTGTGAAATTCCTGAAACACGCTGCCACTTAACTTCCTCCGTTAGAGGAAGCTCCTCCAAACACCCCCCAGGATTCACATGGAGCTACCCTTCGGTTTTCAATCTCTCGCGCCTTTGCAAGGGACATAAACAAAAGTGCAAGCGATTCATCGGATGCGTTGAGCAGGTGCAAGTACAGGCAAAGGTGCTAGAGGATTGGGTTGGGTTGGGGTTGGTACCTGGTAAGGGAAGGGATGCAGCTAGGCGATGATGGGGACCCGATTTGAAATGCACATCACGTTTTTAGCCACTTTTTTGGCGACAGGCGGCAGACGCAGCGGATGGACGACGATTGCGGCTGGGGGAATCGCGTGCAGACTAAACCATGGCACGTGTGCTCCACCACTGGTAGGGTCCGTATCAATCTACATGCCGCCCCTGCAGGAGTGGATTTTAAAATGCATATTACTTTTTATAGTATCTTGCACATTTTTGCCCAGCTCACAGTGATGTATTATTATTCAATCAGTGGCGCAACCTGCGAAAATGTTATACACAAAACGGTTACATGTGTGTACAATGATTACCATTCGCAGGAACAATCCACCTGCAATTAATATAGCAAATATATTTTTAGCATAACCTTAGCATTTTATGGCTGCTTATACGCTTTTCTAATTATATTCGCTTGGCGCAATATCCCAATTGGCACATTTTATTGTTTACTTTATTTCGAAAGTTGTCAGCCAAAGTTTTCGTGCTACTTTGCTGTGCTGTATTTTTTGGCTCTCGTTTAGGCCAACTTTTCGCATTTGGCCAGCAATTCAGTTCGCAGTTCATATATTGCTGTCGCTGTTTGAAATTTATGCTGGCAGTTGTTAAAATTATGCAAACATTTGTTTTAGCACATTATGGGTTTGTTATCATGTTTGAATAAAAAAAAAAGAATTAAATAAAATCATAAACTGGAACTTATAAAGTTAAAGATCAACCATTAGAAGTCTTTTGAAGTTTTAGCTTCTTTCTGCGCTTTTTCTTATAGCGGGGAAACCATTACATAATCGGAGCTCAGATCCCCGGGGAGCTACTCCTGCAATAGATCATCATTTGCATGTCTTATAAAGGTTCTATAAATTTTGGGCAAGCTGAAGGGCAGCAAACGGAAAACACTTTAAGGCATACAAAGGACTCGATTGAAATATAAAAACCACAAGAACACAAGGAAAAAAAAGACGGAAACGGAAAAGAGAAAAACCGAGGGGGGTACTCAGGTCATAGGACAACACTAAAAAGAAGGCAAATTTTATTTGCATGCGGCTTTTCAATTCCTCCAGAACATAAAACGCAAGCCAGGGGAACCTTCGGGGAACCCTTTCGATGATGGAAAATAAAGTAGAGTTGTAAAACGAGAACGACAACGAGAACGAGAACCCAGTGAGCGAGTGAGAGGCAGCGCGAGTTAAAGCGAGACGGGGCGAAGGAGGCGCGGCGTCTTAACAATTTCCTGCCAACTTCTGCTTCATTGCATATTTCCGTTTCCTTCAGACCGGACTAGTCCTCAACCCGCTCGGCTCCTCGTCCCTCGGCGTCCTGAGGCCTTGCACATATGGAAAAGCGACGACAGCCGCCTGGAAAAATTCCCTCTCTCTTGCGAGAGTTTTTCTCTTTTACGATTTGCAATTATTTTTGCTCATTTCAGCAGAAGCAAATATGCCCACAATTCCTTGAGGGACTGACTGCTGGCAGACAGTCCTGAGTCCTGTCAATACAAATAGTGGCAACTGTTCCTCGTTCTCCCCGCACATTCTCGTCTATAGCGATTTGCATAAGTTGATATTTTTCGAGTTGTTTCACTTTGACATCCCTCCATCTAGACATCGATTCGTTCGTGTTTTGTGTGCTCAGTTATTTGTCCGCCTGAATGAAGTCCTTGGAAGAAAAAGGATGGGCATGGCACTGTGTGGATTTACAACATGGAAAGCATTTTAGCTGCAGCGGATTCTTGCATTCAGTCTGCCACTTTCCCACCACTTCAAAGCTGCTCGACTCCGTCCAGATTTCATTTTGCTGCGGGAGGTAATGACAATTGTCTTCGGAGTCCTCTGCTGAGTGGTTTATTAATTCCTGTAAGAGGAGCAGGACGTACATGGCTCGGTGTCGGGCTGAAATGGAGAAGACAATAAGTCAAAGTTTAGAAGGAAAGTGAAAAGTGTCAGCGGAAATCTAACTCTACAGCACACTCCCAATCTTTAAAGCTCTTGTATACAAAAGTGTTTAATTTGAACTAAAATCCCTTGACTTAGATTGCTTTAATCCAGGTTCATAACATTTTAAAGTCCTTTGGCAAGGTTCCCTGTTTCTAATGACATCCTGCTGTCGGCATGTGGCTAAACCCTCATTCCTGGCTAACCAAACTCGCACCTCCGCCTTCCCGAATTTTCCCAAATTGCCGACGTAAAAAGCAGAAAAACAGGATGCTCTTCGGCAATTGGTGAATTGGTGAATGGAAATAGAAAAAGTGCCAAAACATTTGCCTTTGAAGAGGAGTCGACCAGCTCCACACCGATTGGCCTTCCCATACTCCTTCAATGGAGCGTGTGCAGAAAATCAAAATAAAACGCTTTTCGTTTCATTTGCAATGAAATTTTCGCAAGTGGCTGGCTGGGCCTGTCTTTGTTTTGTCTGCTCGCCTGCCATTGAATGGAAATTGTTTTCCAATACAGTATTGAATACAGTACACAGGATACTGTATGGTATATAGAGTCTAACACCCATAGCAGTTTTGGGCATTTCCTATGCACGTCATGTGGGCAATCAGCGCTCATGTCCATGGGATACTTTCTTCTGGTTTAAGCCCCATTCCTTTCTGTTGGGGATATCTATTTCCAGTTTTATTTCTCACTCGGCTCATGAATATTTAACTGCCAACAATTGACTATGATTGTTATGTTTGTTGCTGCTCTGTGTTTTACAATTAGAGGGGATATAGAGGACAGAGGGGCTAGGGCGAAGGGCCATGGGGATTTTGGGACCGGGATTGATTTTTTCATGGCTTTATATTTTTCATTTATCAACCTACGTTTTCCTGCTTTGCCTGGCGAAGAAATTGCAATTTTAACGCATGACAAGACATTCTCAATGCGCTCCAAGCCAAAAATACAAAAAAAATTCGCTTACAAGCACTTCAGCCATTCTCTATTTTCCTACTTAGACATCGTCGAGTAATCGAATATAAATTGAATTTTTCACAACAAATGGATTTTCCCAAGAGTTTTTCTTTACCAGGTTGCCCCCTTCTGCAGTCAAATGAAATAAGCATAAGATTAATAATATGCATTAAATTTGAGCGGATTTTTATTTCTTTTTGCTGACAAAAAAATAACGCGTGTCCTTTTTGCTGGCACGTATAAAATTGATATTGAAATACATTTTCTTGGTAATATTCCAACCCAGATTGTCAATTAAATTTTTCAACTATACATACAATATTTTAATATACAAAATAAGGTAAGCTACATGGGCGTTTTTTGTATACTTAACATTGCTAAAAATGTATGTCTTGCGTGAAGTTAACTTCCTTCTGAAAATGTTTCGCGATTTTGCTCACGCATTTTTCTTCGTTCATTTTCATTTTTTGTGTCTGATTGAATATTTTGTTCGCTTTCCATTTTAAGCTGTCGCCCGCACTTGTATTTTTTCTCTCCACGGCGAATTCGCACTTGATGCTACATATACTTTGCATTTATTGTGGCCAGACCAAAAATAATGTAAGCTAGTCACGTCTAGCCACTTGTGTCCTCAGCCCAAGCTCCAGCCTTTTCCAGCTTTTCCAGCATTTCCCAGCATTTCCCAGGTTTCCCCTTCTAAAGACGCCCTGCTTTCCTTTCGAGCTCGTGCCTTCACATTCACTTAGTGCAAGGCTGTGCCAAACCT